AGACTGGACTATGGGACATAAAATGATACTCGTGAAGAGTGTGCTTCTTAGCTCAAGTAGATACATGAGACTAAATGGGCAGCTCCTGTCCAGAGGCGAGATGAGAAAGGCAGAGAGGGTCAGTAGCTGGCTGAACGGACACAGGAATTCCAAGGTGGAAAGAAAGAGTGTGCTGTCACAGTAGAGGGAGAGCAACTAGGGTCACAAAATAATGTACGCATAAATTTTTGTATGAGAGACTAACCTGAATTATAAACCTTCACTTAAAGCACAACAATTTAGGGGAAAAAAAAAAGAACGGTTCTAGAGCGAGATTATCTAGATTCAAATTCCAGTTTTGATTTATTAGCTATGTGACACTAGCAAGTCACTTCTAAGCCTCAGTTTACCACACTTATTCAATACTTAACTTCTGGAGTTGTTTTGAGAATAATAGTATATTTAAAAAAGCACTTGGCAACGTGTCAATATTGGTTTATCAACTGTAACACGTGTAACACAAGAATGCAAGTTACTAACAGAAGAAACATGTAGGGGGAAGGGAGCATCAATTAAAAACTGTACTTTCTGCACGGTTTTTCTAAAAACCTAAAACTGCTCTAAAAAATAAATCTGTGAAAACAAATAAATAAGCAAGCACTTGACAGAATGCCTAATACACAGCAATGGCTCAACAAGTGTTACTTCAAGTTTACTATATAACCCTGCCTATTTGAATTATTAACAATGATATCCAAGTCAGAGAGATTTCAACTCTGAATTAAGTTTATGAAATACTACCTTATATTAAAAAGAATTAGAATAAAGTAACCTTTCCAAGAACAGACCTTGAAGCAAGCCTGCAGTACAACTAGAAAAGCTTTGTTATAATTAGCATCATCCATTAACTAATGAGTTACTTGAGACCTAAAGACTTCCACAGTAGTGATCCTGTCACTGTCTCTCTGAATTTACTTGGTAGGTTACAAAGAAGAAAGAGGTTAAGATGTTTACTGTGAAACACTGGCCATGTATTTTCACTGCATGGTACAAATGGTGTTGGTGGCTCAAAGCCACACAGTGGTACCACAGATGATAGGCCTGGTGATCTGCTTCCATTAACACCCTATAGTGCAATTCTACTCTGTATGACACATTTGTGGTTGCCAGGAGACTGAATCAACTCAGGGCAACTAGCAACAAACAACAATTGGTAACAATATGCCAATATAGCAAAACCTTTATAGTCTTCAGCAAAAGCCCTTTACTTAGGTAAGCGGACATATTATGTCCAGACTATTAGCATCACCTAGAAACTTGTTAGAAATGCAGAAACTCCAGGCTGGGGCCGGCAATCTGCTGTTAAAGAACTTGGCTGCTGACCTTTGTGCTAACCAAAAGGTTGGCAGTTCAAACCCACCAACCGTTCCACGGGAGAAAAATGTGGCAGTCCGCTTCCTTTAAGATTTACAGCGTTGGAAACCCTATGGGGCAATTCTAATCCATCCTTTAGGATCACCATGAGTCAGAATGGACTCAAAGGCAACGAGTTTGGTTTTTCCAGGGGATTCTGATGCAGATTCAAATTTGAGAACCACTAGCTTAGGCCCTGGTGGCATAGTGGTTAAGTGCTCAGCTGCTAACCAAAAGGTCGGCAGTTAAAATCCACCAGCTGCTCCCTGGAAACCCTATGGGGCAGTTCTACTGTCCTATAGGGTTGCTGTGAGTTGGAACTGATTAGACGGCCCATAACAACAGAAGCTTAGGCTAATGACTTGAACAAACAAACAACTACTCAATTTTCCTTTCCTCCCAAGCCACTTTCACGTAAGAACAAAAAGGTTTTCTTGGAGATCTTATCTCATTTAACCATAGATTTTTAAAAAATTGGCATGCAAATAAAATTCAGAAATTATCTTAACTTCTGATTAATCTTGAAAAGCTGTTCCTTTCATTGTGATTAGAAGATTCATGGGTAAAGCTACTTAACAAGTGACTTATCACACCCTGCTTCCTAAGTTTGTTTTGGAGTATGTTGCTATTCTTGATAAATGAAGATGAAATAACTCGTCCTGCATATTCCTCAAAGAAATACAATAACACTCACATATACACTAGTCTCCACTACATTTTTGAATGGTAAGGGCAGGGATAAATATATTAAGTGCTGGGAAGAGGAGAAAAAATGTGACTTATCAAAAATCCTCCACCAACATTATAGCACAGCCAAAATTCGACAGATTTCTTAAAAATCTTGCTTTAAAAAGATAGGGAGAACTTGAATGTAATCAGTGTCACTGAACTCTACACGTAGAAACTTTTGAATTGGTGAATGTTTTGGTGTGTATATTTTCCTCATACACACAAAAGATAACGGGGGCAAGCATTTACAAGAATCTTCTGTGGACCATATCTTTCTAACGCCCTAAAGCTTATCATCTATAAAACTGGAGGATGTGTCTGTTATAACTGCTACACCTATCTTACAGATTGCTGTGGAAATAAGAAAACAAAAATAGAAGTACTTAGTCAATTAAAGATACTACTAATAGTCTCTCAACTAATCTCCTTCCAGCTTCTACTCCATTTCTCTGCTCTTCTCTATAGCACAACCAGAGCTTCAAATCTGTTCGTTCCAGTTCGAACTCCTAAGAATGTACATTTCCACCACAGACACACTGAATCAGAATCTACATTTTAACAAGATCCCAAGTCATTTTTATGTATACCAAATTTTGAGAACCACTCCTCTACTAGTGGTTCTCAGAATTGGTCCCTAATCAGCAGCATTAGCTTGCCTGGGAACTTGTTAGAAATGCAAATTCTCAGCAGGGCTTCAAAACGGACCAATATGAAGCCCTGAGCACAACTCCTTGGGAAGTTTACCCACTTCCTCTTTTTCTCCTGAAAGCACTCCAATCAGACTTTCACCCTCATCACCCTAAGGAAATCACTCCTGGCAAGTGATCAATAACCTTCACTTTGATGAATCCACTCTTAAGTCTTACTTGACCTACCATCAGCAATTGACTCAGTTAAATAACGCTCTCCTTGAAACACAACCTCATCTGGCTTCAAGGGCACTACTCTCTTGGTTTTTCTACCTTCAGTCTCCCTGAATGATGGTTCCCTTTAATCTTCTGACAGCTAAATGCTGAGTGCGCCCAGGGCTGAATCCTAGCACGTCTTTTCTATCTATACTCTCCAGATAAGGATATACAGTATTATGGTTTAAAAATAGCCATTCTTATACTGTATCCTCCCAAATGTCTATCTCCAGTTCGAACTTCTCTGCTTGACATCTCCACCTTGACATCCAATAGATCTTCTCAAAACTAACATATGCACACTCAAAATTAACATAAACCATCCCGATATCCTTATTCCTAAGCCTATTCTTCCTGCACCTTTTCACATTTAGGTATATGGTAACTCATTTTCCACAACGCTCAGGCCAAAAACCTTGGAGTCATGCTTAACACCTCACTCACTCTCATACTGCACATCTAATCAACCAGCAAATTCTGGTCTTGGCCACCATTACCTCTTGCCAAATCTCCTACCTGATCTGACTGCACCTTGTAGTCTATTCTTAGCTCTGCAGCGTGTTACATCTCTGTTCACACCCTCCATTTCATTCCAAATTAAAGAAAGTGGCCTACAATGGCCTGCAAGCCCTCCTATATAAAGTTGTAATACACTGCGGCTCATTCCTTTTCCTGCAATATAAGAGAATGCTCCTTACTGGAAGGGCTTTCATTTGCTGTTCCTTAGAAGCTCCCACTCACTTCCTTCAGATCTCTGCTCAAATCTTAGTTTTTCATGGAGATCTTCCTTATCCCCCTTACCTAATTCTAGTTTTCTCTTTATCATTTATCAGTACAGGACAAGCTAAACATTTACAAGTTATTTTCCTCCACAGTATAAATCTAAGCTCCATAATTGCAGACTTTATTCCCTGTTGTATGTCCAGTGCCTAAAACAATGTCTAGCACAGCAGCAGAGTGCTGTCCTATAGAACATTCTGCGATGAACGGGTATCTGTGTTACCTAATAGCAGCCCCTAGCCACACGTGGCTACTAAGCACTTGAAATATGTCTAACATGTCAGAGGAAGTGAACTTTTAAATTTTTCATCTGATGATTAATTTTATTTTTAATAGCCAATGTGACTAGTGGCTGCCACAGCAGACACTGTGGATCTAGCATGTAATAGGCTCTCAAATATTTCTGAACGGGTATTAAATTGCTATTACAGTAAAATAACTGTAGTGAAAGGAATATACAAGCTTATTTTTAAACTGGGGAAGCAATCGCTTGTTTTAATTTACTTCCTTGCCTCTCACCAACAGTAGTTTCTAATGTGTAAAGACTGACTTATCTCACACCTCTCCAGGGTCCAATTTAGCAAAAATTCTGGCAGCTCTGGGATTAGCAAAACTAGAATAATGTTGAACGAGATCCAAACGTACTCATTAGAGTCTTTATAAACATAAATTACAACGCTCTCCCTACCTAGTAGGGAAAAGATTCAAGAAACCTAGAAGTTATTAAATAAAATACAACACAGCCATTTCAAAAGAATAAATTGTTGAAATAAGCCTAGCTCCAGGCTAGAAATTATACCAAAGAAACCCTTCAATGGCAGGGAGTAATAGCAGCTAATTATGTTATTAACTCTTATGGGATGAGAACTGGCCAGATGACCCACAAAATTTAAATCACTGATCTTTATTCTCTGTCCCAAGTACTTAGGAGGTAGTCTTTGATCTCAACGTAATTCTCACCAATCTAACCTAGCACAAGATATATTATCATTACTTTAAAAATAAATACCAATATATACTCTACTTAAGCATAAAAAAAAAAGTCAATTGTTTACCTTCTTCATGGCTACTGAACTTTTTTCTAAGCTGACTGGCCAGCTCATCTAATCTTTTGCAATGAACAAAAATTACAGTGGTCAAAGAGAAATTCAAGATTATTCTTTCATGTTGCTGCCAAATTACAAGGCGGCAAAAATTTTAATACAAAAGAAAAACTCTTACCTGCATGCAATGAATAGCTAAGCCAGGTCCTGTGTACAACTTCTTGTGACATATATGGCATTTAAAATGCTTTGCTTTTTGGTGCTGTATAAGGATCTTCTCGTCATCAAAATCTCTATTACAATACCTGATCAATACCGTTAAGGTACAAAAATAGCATAATCACATTGCCTATAATAAAAACAATCCGTCAAGTGAGCGAATAGAGGTAACATTAAACTATGAGCTAAGGGCTAAAACCAAAAAGGCACTTTATAGAAGCCCCGCTTTTGATACTTACTATACAAAAACTTAACATTTGCCATATGATCTCAGTATTTTCAATTTCTCGGGGGGCCATGGTCTCATCAGCACCCCCAAATAAATACATCTCAGTAATCAGCAATCTATTTTTGCCAAATTATTGTGTGTTTAACAGAGATGTTACCTAAAATTAACTTTTCTTTCGTTCAGCATCTGAATATTTACACACACACTGTGGAAAGGTTCAATGTTCAGAAATCCTCAAGTTTATTTCAAAACAGAATTAATCCAGTAGATATATAGAAAATAAAAATAATCGAAATATTAGGAATGTAGTCGTATTTAGATCTAACAAGTTCACAGGGGCTAAAAATGACACACAATTCCGTTTCCAACTCCGTATGAATTTATGTTGCCAAGGCATGCATTTAAACTCAAGAGATTCTTACCTCACTACTCCTTAGGTTTTACAAAATTCGTAACCGTTTTTAAACAAACCGTTTTTAAATACGAGAGTAAAATCAACTTTAACGTAAAAAAAGTACACTACCACTTCCGGAGAAAGTATTAAAATGATGATACATTTTATTAAGATTTTCCTTTCCAACAAAATAGGCCTTTTCTTTTTTTAAGTCCTACAACGCTGGATAATAGATACACGAAACTCCACCTTTTAGGAGAAATGCTAAGGCGCCTCTGGATTAGACACGGAAGCTGGCTCTCCCCAACCCCCGCAAAAAGCGGGGGGGAGGCTCCTGGAAATCAGAATTGGTTAACTTAAACCTTTACTAAGACACCAATTCTACAAAAAACGAAGAAAATGGGTGACAGAGACTCCATAAGCTTTTCCCCAATCCTTCATGGAATCAATCAGCGTATTTTACTCAAAAAAAACGTCGCTTTGTTGAATCGTCACCAAAACAACGGAATAGGGGCAGAACAGTGCTTAGGTAACGCTTTCTTTGGTAGAGGTCCAGGCCGCCTCCCAGTGGGCCAACGCTCACCTCAAAGCCAAATCCTGAGTCACGGAGTCGCCACGACCCACAACTGCTAGTACCTCTCACCCTAGGAACCCCATTTTCAGAGGCCTCCCCAAATTCGATCTCAGCAACCCAACCACCCGGCTCGACGCCCAGGTCACAGACACTCCCCGCCATAGGCCAAAACCCAGGCCTCCCAATCACCATCAACCGGCGCCCCCACTAGGCCTCGACTTCAAACCGACAAAGGATATCAGCACCAAGGCTTCAGCTGCTTCTTCTTCTTGCGACCCATAACCACGCTCTACTGACAAAGTAAAAGGGAGGAGAAAAACAAGCAGGAAAAAGGAGACGAAAATCGCTCACTTTTCCGACCCAACGGCAACCACCGCGTCCCACAGGAAACAGACACAAAATGGCCGACGGCCTCGTTAGCCGCTCCGCTTCCCATTATGCACTGCGGCGGAGGCGGTGCCAGGTGGGGCGTCACGTGACACGGGCCTCCGCCCTGAGTGGGTGGAGACTTGCGGCCGCCAAGAGGCAGTCGCCATCTTGCCCGCTTAAGTTGGTCTCTCCGCCTGCGATGCGTCTGGGATTCAGTTGAAAAGGAGCGAGTGCTCTGGGTTCGACGAGACGAAAGTGAATAGAAAACAAAACAGAACAAAAAATTGTTTTAAGGTTACCTGCTTAATTAAGCTCAGGCTACGAATAAAGGATAATTCAGACAGTACCCAATTTTTAATTTCGTTTTGTTTCTGTTGCCCGGAACTTCTGCAGTAAGTGTTAAGTGACTGCTACTTGCACAAAGAAGTGTCTTGAAACTCACAGACTAGTAAACAATTAGAATGCAATGTAGTCAGGGCGGTGATGGGGGAGAATACGAGATTCTCCCGGACATCAGAGGAAACACGGTCTCGGGCGGGCGCTGGGGTGTCAAGAAAAGTTTCCTGAAGGATCAGTGGGAGTTAGTGAAGGAGATGGTAGTCCCCTAAAACGAAAAACCAAACCCGTTGGCGTTGATTCCCACTCATGGCGACCCTATAGGACAGAGTAGAACTGCCTCATAGGGTTTCCAAGGAAAGGCTGGTGGATTCAAACCGCCAGTCTTTTGGTTAGCAGCCTATCTCTTAACCACTTCGCCACCAGGGCTCCATCAATCCTCATAGGCACATTTAAATAATAATTATGATGATGGCAATAGTGTCAAATTCAGTATTTGTTTGTGGCAGACAGTATGCTAAGCACTTAACGTAAATTATTTAAGTCTTAGAACAAGTGTGAGGTAGGTGATATTTTTCCCATTGTACAAATGAGAAAGCTGAGATGCAGGTTCACTTAGTAACCTGTTCAAGACCACATAGTCAATAGCAGAGCTGGGATTTGAGTTCAAGTCAGCTTGGCTCTAAAAATCTTTACCACAGCCAGGTCTATGTGCCTCAGTATGCATCATCAGCACAGTCCCATCCCTAGGACTTAATTCAAGGTGTTTTCAAAGGCATATGAAAACGTTTGAGACCTGGGGAGAATATTTTTCAAAATATGATAAGAAAACAAAACACTGGAATTAATAACTGTTCAATTAAATGGCTACAAACAAACATATGTCAATAAGTCATCCTCAACCAAATTCTATAGTGTTAAAGAGTATTTGGATTTAAACATCACTCTGCCACTTATTAGCTATTTTACCTTGGGTAAGTTACGTACCTTTGGCCTCAGTTTACTCATCTGTAAGGTGGGATAATAATAAAACCTACCTCCATAGGGTTGTGAGAATTAAATGAGCTAATATTTGTAAGTGCTTAGAAGGCCCCTGACACACAATAAATGTTATATTTATATTTGTTATATTATAGTTATGGAGTCCTGGTGGCGCAATGGTTAAGTGTTCGGCCGCCAACCAAAAGGTCGACAGTTTAAATCTGCTAGCTGCTCCTTGGAAACCCTACGGGGCAGTTCTACTCTGTCACAAGGGGGCACTATGAGTTGAAAATGGACTCAAAGGCACCTAACAAGAACAACAATAGGTGAAATGTAGTACAATATATCCTTATTTTACTTGCTGTTGAGCATTTTATTTATATATCTTTCTTTTTTATGACTTCCGTGAACTGCCCATTTTCTATTTTTTTAATCAATTAATGATAGCCCTTCATCTATTATATGTATTGAATATATTTTTTCCAGGTTTGTCATTGTGTTTTTACTTTGTGCCACACAGAAGTGTTTAGTTTTTATAGTCAGATTATCTTTTTTTCTTCCTATAGGGCTTCTATGTGTTTGATGTTTAAAAAGCCCTTCTTCACTTCTAGAAAGTTTATAATTCTCCTATATTTTCACCTTGTTTGTTGTTTTTGTTTTTGCTTCATTTAAATTCTTAAACTAGTCTACAGAACCAATAGTGTATATCAACAATAACATCACCTGCCTTGAAACCAGAAGAACTAGATGGTGCCCAGCTACCACTCCCGAATACTCCGACCAGGGACCCAATAGATGGTCCTGGATAGAACAGGAGAAAAATGTAGAACAAAACTCAAATTCCTAAAAAAAAAAAAAAAGAGGCCAGGCTTACTGGACCGGTAGAGACCAGATGAGCCCCTGAGACTATTGCCCTGAGATACTCTTTAAACTTGGAATTCAAACCACTCCCAGAAGTCACCTTTCAGCCAAACGACAGATTGGCCCATAAAATAAATAATATCACCCATGGGTACTGTGCTCCTCAAAATAATCATCTAGGTGAAACCAAACTGTTAACATTTGCCCTAGACCAAAGGTGAAAAAGCTAGGAGGGACAGGAAGCTAAATTAATGGAAACAACAACCAAAATGAAAATAACGAGAATGCTGATACATTGTGAAGAACGTAACCAATGTCACTGAAAGATATGTATGGAAATTGTTAAATGAGAACCCAATTTCCTGTGTAAACTTTCACCAAAAACACAATAAAATATTTTTAAAAAATTCTTAGATGTTTGATCAAAGCGCGTGCGCGTGCGTGCCTGCCTGCGTGCGTGCGTGTAAGCAGTGAAGTAGGAAACAGTTTTATTGTTTTCCACGTAGTTGGCCAATTGCGGAGCCCTGGTGGCACAGTGGTTAAAAGCTCAGGCAGCTAATCAAAAGGTTAGCAGTTCAAGTCTACCAGCCGCTCCTAGAAAGTCTGTTGTGCAGTTTACTCTGGTCGCTATGACTTGAATCTACTCAACGGCAATGGGTAGCTTATTATATCACCTTTGTCACATACTAAATCTCCTAGACATCTTAACCTTTAGAGGAGAAAAATGAGTTAAAAGAGAAATGGCAAAATTTTTTCAGTTAACGGGAACTCAAATCAGCCTGCTACCTGGACTCCGGACTTTCTGGAGCTAGAGGACTGGATTAATCCCTGAAACTATTACCCTGAGATAATCTTTAAAACCGAAACCAAAAATATCCCCTGAAGTCTTCTTAAAATCAAACAATGAAAATCTAGTAAAAAGATGTCTGCCTTGAGCATTATGCTCTTTTAAGAACTATCTATATGGGGAACAAAGTGACAACACAACTCAAAAGATTAGATAAGAACCTTGGAGGGCAGTGAGTTTATGTTAATGGAGGAGGAACAACTCAGAAAAGGAAGGTGAGAATGGTCGCACAACTGGAAGAATGTAATCAATGCATGTCACTGAGTTGTACATGTAGAAACAGTTGAGTTGGTGTATTTTCTGCTGTGTATATTCTCAACAACAACAACAAAAGCCTGCTAGTCCCTGTGAGGAGAAAAACCCATGCCAGTTTCTTTGTCTGAGAACAGGGGGAAATCAGCGGAACGCAGATGTGCGAGGGCCAGGAGCCGGAGGAACCCAGCCACCAAGGACTGTACGGCAGCGGGGGAGTGGTTTGGTTGTGACACAAGGCCGCTCGAGGCGGCCGCGATGCTCCCCTCCTTGCAGGAATCGCTGGATGGGGATGAAAAGGAGCTAGAGAGCAGCGAGGAGGGTGGCTCCGCGGAGGAGCGGAGACTCGAGCTACCGCCTAGCAGCCACTACTGTCTCTACAGCTATCGCGGAAGCAGGTGGAGGCGCCCTCCCGGTCGCCCTGGCCGCCCAGCGGCCCCGCCCCGGCCCCGCCCCGGCTCCGCCACCGGGCCTTGCACCCGACCCCGGGCCAGGGGCTAGGCCGCTCCCAAACGCCATCTCCTCCTCTCCCAGCCAAGGTCTCTGGCCCCAAGGGCCCTCTTCGTCTTCCACCGTTCTTCCCAGCCCCCATCCGGGACCTTATGCCTGGCCCTCCCAAGCCTGTGCGCTCCATCTGCACCTGTCTTCTCAGCCCCATCTTTTCGCCCCTGTCCTTTGTTTAGCGGAGTGCCTGGCACGTTCAATAATGTCAGTTCCCGTTCCCTGTCTTTCCTGTCATCATCTCCTCACTTTCTCGAATTTGTGCCACAACTTCCACACCTCCACCCCCAGCTAGTGGTGTCCTCTGACTTGGCCGCCTCTTTTCCATCCTCTCGGGCTGGCTGACTTTCCTGGGACCCTCTTTGCCCTCAAAGCCTGGGTTTTTTGTTTTTGTTTTTTTTTTAAGAGGAAGTTTCCTTGTGCTTTCCGGGTATTTAGCTTTTCCTCCGCCCCGTAGGTGGGCCTGGAGAGAGAAGGGGGCTCTTGTCAGCACTTTCTGGGTTCGTTTTCTCTTCCCTAAGGATAGGCAATGGAGGACCCATGCACTTAGACCTTGCCGCATTTCTAGTTGACTTTGACTCTTGCCTGCCTCCCCCACACCCAACCCATACTCCCCATGAGTTGAAGCTCTTCGTTGAAAGCAGTATTGCTCTTGTGGCCTACAGATTGGCACAGCAGCGAGGGGACAGTGATGATGGAAGTGGCACAAATGCAGAAACTCCCTCCGGTGATGATTTCAGGTAAAACCAGCTTGACCATAACCCATCTATATATTTTTATCTTTCCTGCACCTCTGGCTTGTAGATGTCGGTGGGTACCCTATTTCCACTGAGCTTTCCTTGAATCACACTATCAAGCCCACCTGTCTCAAAGGAACCTCTTCCTGATTGCCTCATTGACTCATTCATTCAAGGCTGGGGCAGATCCAAATACTGATAGCGCCCCTGGTAATTAGCCAATTATTCTGAGTTTCTTGCTTGGAACTCCAGTAAACTTTTCAATGTCATATTGCTCTAAATAAATTTACTATGCTTTTTTATTTTTACCCCTCTCAGTAGTATTTTGTAGCAACCCTGCCACACAATAGGATATGAACTCCAAGACAGCAGGGATTGTTGTCTCCTTTGCTTATTGTATCTTCTTACCTAGTACCTTGAGTGGTGCCTGGCACAGGGTAGGCGTTTTTATTAAATGAATAATGAATAAATGAACGTTAACACTTGATGCAAGGTAAGGTATTATACAAAAATATTGTGTTCACTGTCTGGATAATGGATGGTTTAAAGAATTTTTCAGGTGCTATGATAGTATTGCGGAGTCCTGGTGGCACAGTGGTTAAGAGCTCAGCTACCAACCAAAAGGTCGGCAGTCCAAATGCACCAGCCACTCCTTGGAAATGTTATGGGGCAGTTCTACTCTGTCCTAGAGGGTCACTATGAGTCAGAATCAATTCAGTGGCAACGGGTTTAGTTTTTTTATTATGGTAGTATTGTGGTTATTTATATTTTAAAGTCCTCATCTTTGAGAGCTACATAATGAAAAATTTATGGGTGAAATGATATGATTCCTGGGACATGCTTCAAAATAATTTGAGAATGGGGGGTAAGCGGAAGGGGACACCATGGAGTACAGAGGAAACAATATTGGCCATGAGTTGATAGTTGTTGAATCTGGGTGATGGGTATATGTGGGCTCATTATACTCTTCTTCTCTACTTTTGTATATGTTTGAAAATTTCCATAATAAAAATTAAAACAAACAAAACACCTTGAAAAGTATTGGGTTCATATTCTCTATTGTGAAGTTTGGTGATAGAAGACCTTTTCTTCCTGTATATTCAAGTTATAGTCTCTGTTTATTTTCTAATCTAGATCAAATTGAAATGTTGATTTTTAGTGCATAAACGAAAGCTAATCTGGTGTGTTGTTCATTCATAGGTAATAGGTAGTTGGAGGGTTGATGAAAGAGGAGATGGCATGAGATAGTGATCTAGGAGAGTAGATGAGCAAATGGACCAGAAAATGTGGTGAAAGCTGGGCACCAGTAAGGGCTTGATCAAGGTTAAAGCAAAAAAACCAAACCCATTGCCATCAAGTTGATTCCGACTCATAGTGACCCTATAGGACAGGGTAGAAATGCCCCATAGAGTTTCCAAGGAGTGGCTGGTGGATTCGAACTGCTGACGTTTTAGTTAGCAGCCGAGCTCTTAACCACTGCGCCACCAGGGCTCCTGCTCAAGGTTAGCGATCATTAATTTAAAGTGAAACTAGAGACCCTGGATATGTGTTTTCGTCCAACCACATGCAACTTGCATAGGTGCAGATACAGAGTAGATAGAAAGCTGGATTAAATAGGGTTGGCATCTTGCTAATCAAGTACAGTGAGGTGAAAACAACAAAGGAATTGAATGAGAATGTATGCAAGGGTGTGATTATAGTGACTGACAATGGAATTTAAGCTGCATAAAGAGAAAGGAAGTGAGATGAGAAGCTTGAGAGACTATGAAAAAGAGGTAGGGTCAGTGGATTGGGGGCCTGAGTGGAGTCAGAGTACTAAAGAGAATGAGCTGGGAACAGAGGAATATTTTAAATTGTTTGTTGAAGTGGATTATACTTGGTGACCTACATTCCTAGAAGCTTCACCAACAGGGGTGAGAGACATAGCTTTCTCAAGTCCTTAAAAGACATCCTGGCTTTAAGTATACATGTTTGACTTAAGGAGTATGAAAGCAGTAACCCACTGGTAAGCAATGTGTGTCTTTCATTTGACAAGCCTCTCCTTGGTGGATGCTAATCTGCCATCTGAAGTGGAGCCACAGCTGCGCAGTTTCATTGCTAAGCGTCTTTCTAAGGGAGCAGTCTTTGAAGGACTGGGTAATGTTACATCTGTGGAGCTGAGGTAAGTATAAAATGTGCTGTCCTGAGTTTTTATTTTTGAGCTAAATTTGAGAAGTGGTGAGAAACTCTAAAAGACCAGCTTCTACTAGACCTGCAGAATTTATCCTTATTCTGTGGCAGCCTGAGCACTGGGAGTCACGCATAAACCTTTGCAGAATGGAATGAATTGAATGGCAGAGACTCTGCCTCCTAAGTTTACGTTATTTAGTTTATACTTCAGAGAAAAGTATTAATTACCAAAACTAAATAAAGTAACTGGAGTTGTATACTTTGGAGGTTATAAAGTGCTCTCACGAAATTTTATCTAATGTAGTTTTCTCTAGAAAGCTTGAGATAGAGCAAGTGAGGAATAAACTCAGAGAAGTTAAGGGGGATGCCCAAAGTCATAGGTCTGGTCACATCAGTGGAGTTTGGGCATGGACATAAGTGTCCTCTGTCCAATTCTAGCTATCTTTCCATTTTACCCCTTGGTTGTACTTCAGTTCAGACCATGAAGTTGGCATACAGGTCCCCCAGGAGTAGAATCCATGGCCCAAGAATAAAACCACAAGATAAACATAGTACATCTGCCAAGAGAATTAGAAGAAATTTCACGTACGTGAGGGGCTGCTTTGGCTAAAGCCCACTAGGGTATACATTCATTCTCCTCTGCTGTTACAAGTAAGTGAAAGGAGAAGTCTGAGAATCTCTGACTTAGAAAGTCTAACAGTGTTGTCAGACCAAGATGACCAGGAGTTGGAGTGGTCCACAAAATTAGATACGTGAGTCACCAAAACAATACATTTTACCTTTTTCTTTCTTTTCTAGTTCTCCAGGTTGCCGAGTTGGTTGTTACTACTGCCTTTTCCAGCAAGAAAAACTGCTTCCTGAAGCAGCAACAGTGGACTCTGAATATAAACCTTCAGAATATGTGGTCTGTTTTTTAGGAGGGTCTGAAAAAGGACTTGAGCTATATCCTTTCACTGGTCTTTGAGGATATCAGGAAGGAAAATCTGAGAGGCACATGGAGGAATATTACTACCAACCTCCAAGAAACTTCTCTACTCCCTTATGTATTTACCTGAATTTCATATTTTCATACAGCCGCTTCGTCTTGGCTTGTTTTAATTTACAGCTTGTGTTATTTGAGAGATTTTATATTTCATATTAGGAGATAAAACACTGTCTTGATTCATCCTTTATTGCTTCCTTAAGAATGTACTTTCAGGCTTGAATTGGACAAGTACATTCAAGGGCTGAAAAATAACATGAACTGTGAGGTAAGATAACTGATGTAATAGTTTAAGACTGAGTTGATTGACATGCTGTGACTGCTATACTGTCAAATCATAGGTGGGACACAAGGACACTTTAATTCTAAAAATGCTACTTTGTGAGCAAGTAGAATGATGCCTGTTCGGGAAGCAGGGAACATAGCCCTATAAGTGCTGACAGTTTCACAAGACTGCTTGTGATGTTTTATATACATGAAAACTTCAATGCATTAAATTTGATGGCACGTGGTAGCATGCCAGGTGAGGAAGAGGATGCTCTTCTCCTGATTCCTAAGCTGGTGATTCTGGGCAGAACTAACAGTCCATGCAAATTCTGGCATCAGAGACATGCTATGCAATGATAGGGTTGTCCTTAAACTCCACATCAAAGATTTTTAGAAACATTCCATTTTTCATTAATTGATCATTTATGAATTAGATATATCCATATTGATTAATTTATCCAAACCTTTAAAAACTGCTTTCAGCTTGTGGCAGTTGTTAAAGTCATGACTCTTGTAAGTTTATTGCCTGTTACATGTAGTAATAGTTCCTTTTATTTGTCACGTTCTTGAAAGATACTGCAGGAGGAGAGGGAAAGATAGTGTAGGAATGAGCTAGGAATGTGAGGGAGCTGCTCTCCCAGATTGGTGTCATTCCTATCTGACACGAGTCCCCAGAGAGCAGCATAGCCAAGAAAGCACATGTGATATGCTCATGGGCAGTGTGTCTGACAACTGGAGTGGGCTGGAATGTGTGGTTGAGTTAACTTGTATCTTCACCATTCGCATTTTGAGTCTGAGTGAACTGTCTACATCCTCCAGTCATTCGAACACGTAACAAGCTTCTACTGTGGATGTTTTAGACAGTGCAGCAGGTTCTGAGGATACAAGGATTATTAGGAGACGGTATCTGCAGCGAGTGCACAGTACACTGGGGGAGATGGATGTGTAAATGTCCAACTTCTCCCAGTGAAGAAGTGGCATGGGACTCTATTAAATTCAGTGTCTTCATTTTGTATAATGCATTTCCTAACATGCTTTTTAAGAAATTCAGAGCAGAATTAATCCCTACCCTGCCTAACAACCCCGGGAATGCTATAATCTCACAATTCTTTTTTTTGAGCTGATGGTGGTAGCTTCAGAAAAGATGTCTACCCTGGTTCTTTGCACTGTCAAGGGTGTCGTAAAGAAAATGTTAAATCAGCTAAGGTGAAAGCTTATGTTAAAGCAAATATATTCTGTTCTGATCTAGGAAGGGGGCCTGGAGAACCACATAAAATCCTACCTGAGCAGCTGGTTTGAGGATGTTGTATGCCCAATCCAAAGGGTTGTTCTTCTCTTTCAGGAGAAACTTACCTTTCTGCTACACGCTGTAAGTATTTCCTTAATCAAGAATCACTTTGGCAGAATTTGGATTGTTTAGTGGCATCACCCTTTTTTTCTGAATGTTCCTTTTTCCCCTTGAATATTAATTCAAACTATGCTTGCCAAGTAGACTACACCTTATTTACTCAGATCTGGAAAGTTAAATTACTACAGTAAATTGCAAATGCTGGCTAAGTCTTCCTAATAGGATAAAATATTTTTAAATAATTACTTTTTTTTTTTTTTTAACAATTTTTTATAGTTGTTGTAAAAAAAATACTTTTTGAAATTATCTGGGAGTGGTGTAATTTCTAAAACAGTTTGAGAAGGAAAACAAAAATCTAAAGTGATTTTTAATTGTATAAAAATGTCCGGATAAAAAATGAAAAATTCACTGACGTATCCAGACAATGGAAGAGGCTTGAGTGAATGACTGTTAGTTTTTCATTTTAATATGTGGTGGATGGATGCTGAGACTAAATGAGACCAAGGCAGTAAGGCCAGGTCTCAGCTCTAGTGAGCAGCAGTTGAACAAAGCTCTGCAGAGCTCATGTGCAGTGCCCATCTGGTGTGGTGGTGATTTGGGAAGGCAATGTTCAGTCACAAGTAGCTGCTCCATAAGAAAAACTAGAATATATGTATCAATCAGGCTTTATTTGTTTTTTGTAGGCTCTGAGTTATACTCCTGTTGAGGTTAAAGAATCAGATGAAAAAACAAAGAGAGACATTAACAGGTAAAGAACAGGTTTTTCCAAAGAGAGGACCTTTTTCACACAGAGCCTGATTTTTACTAAAACTTCCCTAGTGCAGAATGAATTTGCTTTTCCCTCCTGTTCCATAATACTGTTTGTGGAAATGGGCTTGTGTGTGCGTCAGGTTTCTGAGTGTGGCCAGTCTTCAAGGGCTTATTCATGAAGGCACCATGACATCTTTGTGCATGGCCATGACGGAGGAGCAGCATAAGTCTGTGGTCATCGATTGCAGTAGCTCCCAGCCTCAGTTCTTCAATGCAGGTGAGCCGCAACCTCTGAAGCAGCCTTCCTGGTCTCTTGTGAACCTTCATTTTTGCACTGAGAAAGATGGTACAAAGTTATTCTTCCTGCCTTTGTGCAGTTTTACATGTCTATCCCAAATTTGCTGAAAACAATAGCAGTTTTAGAAACATGGAAATAATGTCATGCCCAGCAATTCCACTCCTAGGAATATAGAGATACTCTTATATATGTACACAAACAGACACGTGCAAAAGTGTTTATAAAGTCATTGTTTGAAATAGCAAAGAAATGGAAACAACCTAAATGTCCATGTCTATAGGAATATTGATAATCTGCTATAGTCATACAATGGAATACTATACAGCAGTGAAAATGAATGAGCTAGAACTACATGTATCAGTATAGCTCATAAACATACTATTTAGCAAGACAAACCATTAAAGAAAATAGTTTTTTTTTTTTAAATTGTTATAGTTTAAATGAAGTTTACATTTCAAGTTAGTCTCCCCTACAAAAAGTTATACATACATTGTTATGTGACCCTCACTGCTCTCTCCATACTGTGATGGCACACTCCTCCTTTCCACCCGATTCCCCACATCCATTCAACTCCTAGCCCTCTCTGCCTTCCCATCTCACCTCCAGACAGAACCTGCCCGCTTAGTCTCTTGTAGCTACTTGAGGTAAGAGGCACACTCCTCACGAGTATCACTTTATGTCCCACAGTCCAGTCTAATCCCTGTCTGAAGAGTTGGCCTCGGAAATTATTTTAGTTCTGGGCTGAGAGAGAATCCAGGAGCCATGCTTTCCAGGGTTCCTCTAGTCTGAGTCAGACCATTAAGTCTTGTCTTCTTACTAAAATTTCAGTTCTGCACCCCACCTTTCTCCTGCTCCATCAGGGACTCTCTGTTGTGTTCCCTGTCAGGGCGGTCATTGGTGGTAGCTGGGCACCATCTAATTCTTCTGGTCTCAGGCTGATGAAGTCACTGGTTTATGTGGCCCTTTCTGTCTCTTGGGCTAGTACTTTCCTTGTGTCTTTGGTGTTCTTCATTCTCCTTTACTCCAGGTGGTTGGGACCAATGATGCATCTTAGATGGCCACTTGCAAGCTCATAAGACCCCAGATGCCACTCACCAAAGTTGGATGCAGAACGTTTTCTTAATAAACTTTGTTATGCCAGTTGACCTAGATGTCCCTTGAAAGCATGGTCCCCAGACCCCTACCCCTGCTACTCTGTCCCTCAAAGTGTTTGATTGTATTCAGGAA